CCGAATTTAAAAAAATCGACCGGCTAAGCCGATAATTTGCTTTTAGCCGATTTTTTCACTATCGGCCAAGATCACTACTTAACGGTTAATGCCACTTGAATTCAATGGTTAACATGGTTAAACGGTTAAATGATTAGAACAATTGTGTGGTGTGATTAAATCTCTTTTTTAAAGGTCCATACCGTCGTACTATATATTCTTACTATATATTCGAATTTTCATATAATATTATCTGCGTGCCAGCAGTTTCTGTCATTTTAATTGACAAAAAAGCGTTATAATTTTAAAATTTTTGAATGTTCTGAGAAAGAAGACAATTTATTCAAAAAGAAGTGCAATCATTTTTAAGTTATAATAGTTGAAACAATAAATTACAAAGTTCTATTGAACAACGTTAACCGCTTAATATTTTTCTCGATTGGATCATAGTTTTTAGCATTTCCGCTTGACAGTTCACCTACTTCAATTACATTCCACATTCCTATTATCATCAAATATCAAATAATAATAAATTAAGAAATAAAGCACTATATAATCACAAAATTCAGCATAGAAACTTACCATTACTCGATCGATTAATAAGACACATTATAACAGCTTGAGACTTTGCTGCTTGTTGTATAGTATAATTACATAATTGCTTATCCGGATTCGCTTCATCATACAATTTAAAACTTGGATTCCGAAAATGACCAATTGTCGGAGACCTCCATGAACTTAGAATTAAATAAAGCTGACCAACATCATTAGGAAGTTCATCAAGTTTAATTGTTATTTTGTGATGTCCACTAGCTATGGATAATTTAAATATATTAAATGCATACAAGAGTGTAACTTAGTCAAAAATTTTAATATAGAAACCAACCATTGTTTTGATCTATGATGTCACCGGAATGCCTGATATATTGTATGCTAGGATAAAACGTAGATATATAGTCGTATTTTCTCCACAATTCACCACCAGCATATATCAAACAAGTACCGTCAAGAAAATCTTGTCCTGAACTAGGAAATCCCCAATTTAAATCGAAAGCCAAATTTGTTAAAGCTTGATCCTTTGTGATAGAATAAAGAACAACAATAAGTTGAATATGACTATTTGCATGAATTCCATAATTTTCTAGTGTGCTATTAGTTGTGTCATCTTGAAAATCCTGTATAGAAAATATATAAAATAATGGTTAAAATAATCAGATATGAATATACCGTAAATAGCCATATAAAGATCCCCCTGGATAGTAAACCCTAGATGTATTAGCCCTGGGTGCGGATCTCAGGATCTTAACTAAAATGTGGCATGTTATAAGTGCAAAGTGTATATACATTTCAAATTTTTACTTTCTATAATATAAACTCTCAGCAATGTACTATACCAGGCCTATTAGGGGTTTTAAAATTGATGAAATATACCAGAACATTGTATATGGCCATTTACGGTAACAAATATAAAAATAAAATTAAATAGATAAGTACATTAAGTTCCACATCATTGTAAATTAACTTTTGCTGTGTAATATCTATCTTAGTAACATCTCTTATTGCATATTTTAAAGCTTTAACGGTTGTAACTTCGGATATATTTATCGTTATCTTTTTTTCCATTCAGTAAGACAACGTAAAAAACACCCGAATTTGCATCATTCGGACCAGAAAGTTCAGCACGCGCTTGAAAGAGACTTTCGATATCAATTTTGAAGCTTGAATTATCCCAGAACAGACAGCAATCATTAACTTCTTGCTCAGTCAATTCAATTTTGCATATAGGACATTGGTGTTGCGTTTCTCTTAGGTAACCCACAAGACACTGACAAAAAGATTGTTTTAAGTGATAAATCATATAGTGTTTTGGTTAAGCACTGAAACATGTACCTTCAAACACCAAGACATGGCATGTTTACATTTTGAGCTAACTGAACTGTCGGGAAACTCTTTCGAAAGTTTAATAACCTCACACAGTCCACATTTCATTATCAACGTTTTTCAGGGGACCGATATTAAAAACGTGAAGTTTAGTTGACTTTAAATATTCAAGATCATCACCAAAATGCACCTTGTACGTACAGTACGTACGTACGTACGTACGTAAATTTTAAGTCCAAATTTAGAAACAATAACGCGTTCTATCCTTACGGAATAAGAGTACATAGTGCGTATGTAACTATATTTTTGTGCTTGTGAAATTTTTCATCTTGCAGGTTTTGATAAGCACCTGAATTTTAGTAATTTTATAAACGAATATTATACTGCTGCATAGAGTAATAGATTTTATCATAAGGATGTTTTAAAAAAATCAGTGTAAGAACCAAGTATACAATTAATATCACTAAAAATGTCCACAATGATTCTTAATATATCGATATATGCAGAAAACCTGATTTAACCAAGGTTGATTAAACATGTTTAAACATTTTAATACAATAATTGTGTTAATTTTTTAAGGAATTTTTGATCCGAAGGACCTCCGATAGCGTTTCTTAGATTTAAATGAGCAGCCTAACTAATACATGTTCACTCACTTTCAATGATTCACGCTTCACGTACTGCATTGAGATTAAGTTTATTAGGCAAAGTTAAAAGAAAAGGCGTTGTATGATAAACCAAATCTAGATTCAGCGAGTTACTTGAATAGTGCCAAATTTGACATCAATAAGGCGTTAGGCAAAGACTACAAATATTAATGCCAGAAAATTTTATTCCTTACTTCTGTCGTCGAAATTCAAACGTATCATTCGATTATTTACTGAATTAATAAGTAACATAAAGATACCATCATGAGCTACAATGATGATGATGATAATAGTGAAAGCGAATATCACGATACTTACGAAGATAATTTAGCAATCAATAGTGAGACTTTTATTACCTTTCATGTTCATATGCCAGAAAACCTTGATGAATCTATACGTCCTTTGGTTGTTGGAAACGTTAAAGAATTAGGAAATTGGAAAAAACCAGTCGTGAAATTACATCAGATTGATACCAATTCTACATATTGGGTTTCAGATCCGGTCAAAGTTCATCTAAGAGGTGAACTCCAGTACAAATATGCGATTTATAGACCAAAACAACCTCAAGGATG